TAGCTCTGTCTCTACTTTTTAAAGATTTATTTGAAAGGCACTCCTCAAATGACCACATCAGCCAGGTCTAGTCAGGCCAAGCCAGGAGCCAGGAGCTCCATCCTGGTCTCCCACATGGATGGAAAAGGCCCAAGTACTTGAGCCATCTTGCACTGCCTTTCCAGGCACATTAGCAGGAAGCTAACTGGAAGTGGAAAAGCTGAGACTTGAACTGGCACTCCAATATGGGATGCCAGAGTCACAAATGGCAGCTTAAAACACTGTTGCACAACACTAGGATCTCTGTCACTATTTTAAAGGCCATCAAACTGTAATACATGTCAGAAAGGTGAACAGGTACACACACATACACATACACAGACTCACATCAATCAAGCAGAGGTAGGACCCCTAATCTTTCACAGGACCAAGGTACTACTGGCTCTCTGGCCAGCCCTGGAACACAGTTCCTTCCTCTTGCTTTCCATCACCATGTTTATTTTCTGCTATCAGTATCTTTACCATATACATGATATACCAATGTAGAATGTTTCTCATCTGAAGCAAAAGGGTCGTGCTATCAGTATCTTTAATTTGACACCCTTCTTAATACTTGATTACCATAAATTATTTGACCGCTCTTCTTCATTTTTCTTTATTCTCTAACTTCACAGTGTTTCTGAAATTTTTACATGCAAATGTTTGCATTATTGTCGGTACAGCCTGCTACTTCCAAAAACTATCTGAAAGTTAAGTGCTCTTGAGCTACTTCTAGATCATAGGCCTTTCAAAAAGGAAAAATTTCTAGATTGATGTGACTTAACTGTAATATGATAAGTTAAACTGTCAATATTCTTGTATTGTCAAAACAAAAAGATGTAAGGCAAAATACATTGATACAGTCATATTTTTATGGCTCCTGAAATGTTACTATGCAACTTTTTGTTGATTTAGCAAATGTTGCTGGGTGAAAGGAAAAATTATTTTCAACCTGCTGAGGAAGCAAGTTTCTTTTTATACCTTCTTTATGCTGGAGGCAGTCAAGTCTACAAGCAGTTGAAACTAGATTTATAGGTTAGTCACCAAAAAAATCACTGCCAATTTAAAACCTGAACACTTACAGAGTCAACAGAATATCTAGTCATTTTGAGCAGTTTACAATATCAACAGAGGCAGCAAAGCAATATGTTACATAGAAGGGATCCTCAAAAAGTTCATGGAAAATATATACTATGAAAAAATTATGCATAGATTCTAAATGTTCATACTAAAATAAACTTTTAATCTCATTTTTCATAAGCGTTTTAAGTGCCTTCATATTCTGAGATAAAAGGCCAAAGGCTTAGTTACCTTGGAATAATTTAATTTCATAAACAATGTAAGTCAGAGAAAATTTCAAATGCTTGTTAAATATATAGGAAATATTTTAAAATACAAGGATGTCTCCAATCACCTCTAAAAACCAAATAAAAAGCAACTGGTTTCCTCTAACGATCTTTACCATCTAAAAGGTGTCGATAATGTTGATCCTTTCCAAGACAGTGGTTCAATAGTATCTTAACTAATATGGTAATAAAAACTTATTTTATAATTCGATAAGAAAAAATATCCTGCTGTTAATATATAGCCTCACAAAGAACTTCCAACATTCTTTACAAATATACCTATTCCCAAGAGTTATGCTTGAATGAGGGAGCAACATCTCTGATACCTTCTATATAAACTCTTACTGTATGACTATTACCACCAGCATCTTCTGAGAAGATGTATCTTCTGAGAAGGTACAGCTAAACTGACAGTACTATAAACGTGATATACCAATGCAGAATGTTTCTCATCTGAAGATTGAGAATATTCACCAGCAATCTCCTGAGACAGATCTGTCCTTGGGAAAACTGAAACCACAAAAACTAGAAAGGCCCAGTACTAGGCTCTAGAATGAGAAGCTGACTTGGTCTTGATCACTCATGTGTCTGGGAAGAAACTTTTATGTGATGGGATATGAAAAGAAGCCCTACAACTAGACAGGCCAAAAACAAAGAAATTCCAGCAAAATGCCCTGAAGTTGTTCCAGTTCTTCAAAGGAGCTATCTCAAGGCAACAGGTGGAATAGGGCAGATCCTTCAAGACAAGAGAGCAATAATCATTTTCTAACCCATACTGCCATTGTGCTTCTTCTTCTATTTACCCCATGGTTTTCTCATCTAGTATACTTAGATAAAGACCTACACACATTCTCCCATATATTTTAAATTTCTAGATGACTTGTAATACCTAATACAATGTAAATACTATGAGAATAGTTGTAATATTTCTTCAGGAATAGTAAGAAAACTGTTTATATTCAATGCAGATGCAATTTTGCTTTTTGTTCTCTTTACATCTGAGGTTAGATGAATTCATAGGTGGAGGATATATGGTTATGGAGGACCAATTGTGTTTTCTGTGCTATTGGCTGTTAAAAGAAAAGAAAGTCATTGTAAAGTCTGCTATGGTGCTACTGTTGAAGTTATTTTTTAAATATATACTTAAATTTTTAAAATTATCTTGAATAGGGAATAGTGATGATTAAAGACAAGAGGAAAAAAGTGCTCAAAAAGTTACATAAACTTGAATAGATTGGTCTATATAGACCTTCTTCACTACTGAAGATCATACTTTCAAGAAGTATAAGCTTTTTAGAATTAAATCCCTAATCTGCTATGTTAGATGAAGTTCACAGAACAGATTAATAATAATTCAGATGTTTTTAGCATCTTTTGTTAAGATCCTATAAGTACATGAAAGACTTGAGCACTAAGAGGAAAAGGCTTTTTATTGACAGAAACATAGAATCTCAAGAGTAAGAACTGAAATTTCATCAAAGCTGCTACTCCTTCAGAAATGCTCCTTCCAGTGCTCTCTACCTCACCTTTGAGATTCTGTATTTGGATGCAGTAAGTCTTGAATTAAAGACCGGGTACAAACCACCTGAAAGGAAGCAATCCTCAAGTCTTAATTGACATATGTCTCTTTGTTCAAGACTCAGCAAGAGCTGCATAAAACTCACAAACTCTTAAAAAGATAAGTCTTATCAGCTCCACAGATTCCACTGCCTTTGCAATTCACTGCCATACAGAAGCAACACAGACTGGCGAGAAGGAGAGAAAAAAAAAATGTAAACAGACAGGGTGCAATACAAAGTGGCAAAGGCTGTAATACATTGCTGGGATATAATATAACAATCTGACAAAGCAGGAAGGGACTCTATCCTTTGTAGAGGCGCTGCCTGGAGAATTCAGATGGGCTGGAGCATTCCAAGGACAATAGTATGGGACTTTACTGAAAACCTACCATCTAGTTCACTCTTTGGCCCTACTTACAACAGAAAAGATTCTGTCCCTGCACTTAAGGTGCTTAAATGTCCAAAGATTGCATTCCCAAGAAGACAAATGCAGAGTGTGTTTGGGATCTCACCTTTCTAGAGGAGGAGGGCTCATGTAGAACAGCAGCAGAAGATAGGGTTTATAAAAGAAAGCACTAGTTTGAAAAAACTGAGGCTCATGCTAATGAGGAACCAGGAATCCATAGAAGAGTTATCCAAGGTTAGTCAGGACAGCCTCTGAGGTAAAGAAACTGAAGGGAGAGATTCCAGTAAAAAGAAAAAAACGGAGCAAGGTAAACAGTTAACTCCACAATTTGTTGTGCCAACCATGTTCTGCGGAAAAAATGCAGTAAGGGTTAAAAGCACCAGGTCTGGAAACAGAACCCAGCTGCTTCACGTTGAACCTCACTACTTCCCAGCTGTCCTGCTGGGAAAGTTAGCCTCAGTCTCCTCACCTGTAAAATGCAGCGAATGCTAACAACAGTGCCTGGAAAGCCAGGAGCGGCTTCTTCAAAACACAGGTGTGACTAGGATCACTCTCAGGAGAAACTTTATTCAGAAAAGCAAATCCAAGTCTCTTAGGCAGTAGCAGCTTCCTGGTTATCTTTCTGATCTAACTGCTAGGTGAACACTCTACTACTTGTACCAGGGTCAGTTCTGCAGAACAGCAGGCGCTTTCCTAACTGCGTCCCATCTCAGCAGCTGTGTGTCTGCAAAGATTTTTCCTATCTTTCAAAACCTATTTCTCTAGGAAGCTCTCCCTCTAGTTGCAAAGCACATTTGTCTGCACAGTTGGTCCCTGTTTTTGTGCTGGACGTTTTTTCAATGCTTCCCTCTCTCCTCTCACTAAGGTAGTAATTTCAGAGACCCGGGGCAGATCTTTTTCATCCTTGATGCTACCCTTCCCTTGATCCCAGGCTGTGCCCATGCAAGCCTGAATCAGACTGAATGTTTACAACCGTAATGGCCGAGATCCACAAAATGCTTATTGGCGCTTGATTATTTTTATTTTTTCATTGCTTTCAGATCCTAAACTCTTGACAAGAAACCCCTTTAGAAATGAAAGCAAACGTCAGTCCTTTCCAGAAAAGTTCTCCGCAGCAGCCCCCGCGAGTTGACAATGCGGTCATTCTCAGCCTCAGAAGTTGTGTGGGAGCCGCCGAGGGCAGCTCCACACTCACTGGTCCACCCTGTCCTGAGAGATACGGAGAACCAAGCGGCGGCTCCGGCAGCCGCACGGGCTGCGCTCCGCTCTCCCCACAACTTCCTGCGGGCCCGTGGCTCCGGCCGCGCTCGCTCCTCCCGCGGCAGCAGCACCCCTCGGAGTGGCGGCGGGCGCCGATCGAGCCGCCGCTCTTCCCCGGAGGCTCGGGCCTGGGCTTCCGCCCGCCGTGCCCGCTCTGCCCGCGCCCCCGGTCTCTCCGCGGGCCCGCCGCCTGCGGCCCAGGCCGCCGCCGCCCCGAGGGGAGCCGGGGTACTCGCTCGGCTCCGCGTGGCGCCGGGGGCGGAGCCGGCTGGAGGGCCCCGGGAGAGGCCGGGGGTGGGGGTGATGCCTCCCGCCTAACCCGAAATATCAGCAAAAGCGCCCGAACCCCAACCCTCCTTGGGGCCCCGGCCCGCGCCCGCGGCCCGGCGGCCGGCGGGACTCACCACTTACCATCCCGCCTGGGACAACGCCGCGCCGGGGACCTCGGCCATGGTAGCTGCTTAGGCCGGGGGTGGTGGGGGGCTGGGGTGGGGGTGGGGGGGAGGCCTCCTACTTGAGACCAAAAAAAAAAAAAAAGAAAAGAAAAGAAAAGAAAAAAAAAAAAAACTCCTGTGGTCGGCTCTGCAACTGGGCATGCTCAGTGCGGCCGGCGCTTCCGCGTGCAGGTTCCGCTCGCCGCGTTTTCCGAGCGGCCGCCTGGGCCGGCCTGGGTAGGGCTGGGAGGCCGCCGTGCGCCGGGGCGGTGACGGGCCAAACGCGGGCTGGGCGCTGGTTATCGCACGACACGTCTGCTGAAGGACTACAGAGACTTTTGCCGTTCCTCCGTTGCGTTTGTGTTGTATTGGGTCACTTTTCTGAGTCTCACGCCTTTGAAACTGGGGGAGAGGTGCTTTGTAGAGCAGCAAGTAAGGTTCGCGTTTCCAGCGCCAACCGGCGGTCACCTCAGGACAGGAAGTCGCTGGCCGGCCGAGGACCGCTCGGGAAGGAGTGCGTCCAGTTCTGCGCCAGTAGGGCCATGTTTTGTGCAGTGCAAGTGAAAGGTGTACCCCCCACCCCAGCCCATTCTGCGTGCGAGAAAAGTTTCTTTTCCTGTCAAGACTTGCTCCATTCACCGCGCCTCGCGGCCCGCCCAGGCGTAACGGAAACACGGAGGCTACGGGCACTCTCCAGACCCCCACCTCAGATCAGACTGCCCCTGTCAGAGGCCACCGTGGACCCGAGTGGTCAACCCTGGAAAACTGCTTCACTGAGACGATGTGGGGAAATTCGGCCATCGTGTCAGTGCTTGTTTGTCCTGTAGTCCTTTCACCGGGCCTGTCCCAAGGCGGCCCGGCGGACTTGGCACTGGCACCACTAGGCCTCGCTCCACCAGCCTTTTCCTAGTGCCCTGTGCCAGGAGGCCTGAAGCACAGGGGGCGGACCCCCGAGTAGGCATGCGCGGCGACGGCGCCGAGCGGCGTGCAGGACGCTCCGGTGTGATTGGACCGCTGAGACCCACGCCGGCCAATAGAAGGGGCAGCGAAAGGGTACGGGGGCGGGGAGAGGTCCCAAAAGGTTTGCCCCACCCCCCTGCCTGGGTCTTTCACTTTGGAGGCCGGGAAAAGGCGCTTCCGAGTGGCGCTGTCCCAAGCCGCTGAGTCCCGGGGGGCGGCTGAATTGCACGTCGCTCCTAGGCTGCTTCATCGAAGGCTAAAACCATAAATACAAGAAACTGCGCAGAGACGCTTTGGGGACTGGGGAAGAAACTGACAGTGTCAGAAAAGGAGGATGTGCAAATTTTTCTCGTTTTAACTGAGGTGTTTTCGTTTGGCCTTTCCAAAAGTGACAGTGAATCTGATTTTAAATCGGATACTATTAAAATTTGTAAGCACATTGCTTAGATAATGTTAACGAAACTTACTTCCAAGGACTTTCAGAATCGGAAATAACCCCATGCTACTCCCTACAACTTCCTGTAGTATACAATGTTTAGGTTATACGTATGCAACGAAGATGTTTCAACTTACAGGAGCCTTTTATCGTGTCCAAGAACCAGGGGGGAAAATTACCATTTTAGAGGTTAAATAGGTATCACAAAATTAAATTTCAAATAATTGTATTGGTTGTTAAATGGAATTTTATCTTGCCAGCTACTTAGAGTTTTCAATTAGTGTAACTTGTTAACTACCAAAATGATAGACCATCCCAGTTACCAGAACGCCTCACAGATTAAATGTGAAGCCTTTACATAATTCTTCTCACATGAAATAATTCAGTATGATTTACCATTGCATGGTGCTGACAATACTTTGAACAACCTGCTACCCAGAACGCTAAGTTTCCTTACTGTAAGAATGGACTAAAGTGTGGAATTCCTACCAGAGAAATTTAGGACAAAGTAAACATCAAAAAGAATGAAAATAATTCATGTAACACGTTGAATTTTTTAAAAAATGGGAAACTACAGAATGCCACTAAAATGTAAAAGGGAAAAGGGTAGGAGGATGAAATTTTAAAATATAAAACAAATGACAAAATTAGAAAAATAACTTTTCCAAATAATTTGCAGTAGAGGCAAAGTTCATCAGAACATACTAAAAACCACTGGGTTAAAAAATGGTAGGGAGTGTGTTATCATCACATGGTCTCAAAGTATTAAGCCATAACTTACTTATGAGAGACAGCATACGTTCGAATGTGTGCATACTTACTGACAGGCAGAGTGGACAGTGAGAGAAAGAGACAGAGAGAAAGGTCTTCCTTTGCCGTTGGTTCACCCTCCAATGGCCGCCGCGGCCAGCGCGCTGCGGCCGGCACACCGCGCTGATCCGATGGCAGGAGCCAGGAGCCAGGTGCTTTTCCTGGTCTCCCATGGGGTGCAGGGCCCAAGCACCTGGGCCATCCTCCACTGCACTCCCTGGCCACAGCAGAGGGCTGGCCTGGAAGAGGGGCAACCGGGACAGAATCCGGCGCCCCGACCGGGACTAGAACCCGGTGTGCCGGCGCCGCTAGGCGGAGGATTAGCCTAGTGAGCCGCGGCGCCGGCCAGAGAGACAGCATACCTTTAAAAATATATGTCACTGCCTTGAACAAGTAATCAAAGCTAGAATCACAAATAATGGAATAATCTGATGTTATATGCTTATGGATAACAGAACAATTAAACATATACTTCAAGAAAAAACCTTCTCAAAATTGTTTCACCTGAATTTAATCAAGCTTCCAGTCAGGGGGAGGGAAACTTGTTTCTGCCAACGGCCATTTGGATATTTATGACATCATGTATGGGCCATACAAAATTATCAACTTAAAAATCAGCCTGCTATGCATTTATTGAATTTTGAGTCCTATCTCTGGTTGCTTTGGCAGGGCCACACCGAATGATTCCATGGGCCTATACACAGCCACTGGCTGGACTTTTCTCAACTCTGCTAGGCAGTGGTTCTACTCCACCTCCACCTGGGACAGGTGTAGCAATGTCTGGAGACATTTCTGGTTGTCACAGCTTTGCAGTTATTATTGTGTCTGACAGATAGAAGCTAGGGATGCTGCTTAATATCCTACAATACACAGCACAGCCTGGCACCCAAAATAAAGAATTGTCTGACCCAAAATGTCAGTGGTGCCTAAGTTGAAAAACTCCAGTCTACATGTAAAGCGCAGAGGCTTATTGGAACAAATTCAACATAATGGAGTGGGCAGATGAATCTAGAATGTGGCATCTACAAAAAAAAAAACCTAGCCTGGGCTGTGAAAATAAACCAATGTAAAAAAAAAAATTTTTTTAAGAGAGAGACAAAATTCTTCCAGATTAATATAACAGAGAGACATGACAATAAAGGGCAATCCTGAACCTGAAAAATAAACAGATAATTATTTATCACCAATTGTAGAAATTTGTATATCAATTAGAAATTGGACAGTATAGGGGCCGGCACTGTGGCAAAGCAGGTAAAGCACCACCTGCCATGCCAGCATCCCATATGTTCGCCGGTTCGAGTCCTGGCTACTCCGCTTCTAATTCAGTTCTCTGCTATGGCCTGGGAGAGCAGTGGAAGATGACCCAAGTCCTTGGGCCCCTCTACCGGTGTGGGAGACCCAGAAGAAGCTCTTGGCTCCTGGCTTCAGATCGGCACATTGCAGCCATTTGGGGAGTGAACCAGCAGACAGAAGACACTCTCTCTCTCTCTCTCTCTCTCTCTCTCTCTGCCTCTGCCTCTCTGTAACTCTGCCTTTCAAATAAAAGAAAGAAATTCGATAGTATAATAAAATTATAATTTCCTTAAATGCAGTAACACATTTCTTAAATATGATAACATTATCATCCTTGTAAGTTTTCTGCCAAAGCATTTATGGATGAAGCATCCTACAGCTTGTTTGGAAATGATCCAGATATTTGTATATGAGTGAATCAGATGAATGATCTGGGTATTCATTTTTTTTAAAGATTTATATTTTATTTATTTGAAAGAGTTACAGAGAGAGCTAGAGACAGAGAGAGAGGTCTTCTATGCGTTGGTTCACTCCCCAGATAGCTGCAACGTCCAGAGCTGTGCGGATCTGAAGCCAGGAGCCAGGAGCTTCTTTCAGGTCTCCACGTGGGTGCAGGGGCCCAAGGACTTGGGCCTTCTTCCACTGCTTTCCCAGGCCATAGCAGAGAGCTGGATCAGAAGTGGAGCAGCCAGGTCTTGAACCGGCGCCAATATGGGATGCTGGCACTTCAGGCCAGGATGTTAACCTGCTGCACCACAGTGCCAGCCCCTGGCTACTAATTAAAAAAAAAAAAAAAAAAAAAAAAAAAAAAAAACACTTTTCCTGGGGTCATCGTTGTGGCCTAGTGAGTAAAACTGCCACGTGGAAGGCTGGCATTGCATATGGGTACTGTTTAGAGTACCAGCTGCTCTACTTCTGATCCAGCTCCCTGCTAATGTTCCTGCTAAAGCAGCAGAAGATGATCCAAGTCCTTGGGCCCCTGCACACCCGTGTGGGAGATCTAGAAGAAGCTTCTGGCTCCTGGCTTTGGCCTGGCCTAGCCCTGGCTGTTGCAGCCATTTGGGGAATGAACCAGAGGAAGATTTTTTTTTCTCTCCCTCTCCCTTTCCCTCCCCCTCCCTCTAACCCTCCTTCCCTCCCTCCCCCTACCCCTCCCTCTTCCTCTCACTATAACTCTGCCTTTCAAATAAACAAAATAAACCTTAAAAAAAACTTTTCTTTAAGTTTGAAATTACTCAAAAATAATGGAAAATATGGATTATCCTAATTTATTTCACATCAAAAATTTCAAATTGAAATTATATTCTATGTTAATAAATTAGTGCCATAGAAAATGATAACAGCTGACTAGAGGAAGAATGGGTTTTCATTTTAATTAGATTAATCACTGATGTACAGAAAATTTTCATGAAGTGTACAATGAGCTGAATTTGTGAGAAATCCTAAGGATGGCAGAAGAGCTTTTATTTGGTGTCAGAAATACTGATTAATAGAAGACACAGAGGGCCGGCGCCGCAGCTCAATAGGCTAATCCTCTGCCTGCGCCACCGGCACACAGGGTTCTAGTCCCGGTCGGGGCACTGGATTCTGTCCTTCCAGTC